TCAGAAGGGCAGAGTGGTCTGAGACTGCAGAAGGGGAAGACAGCAACTAAACTCAGAAACCTGCTGACTTCATGGCAATGTCTCACTTCAGTAAGAGGAAAGGTGCAGGAAGCTAAGAGAAAACATTCTGAAATGGAACACAATTCATAAAGTGATTAATGAAGCAAGGCAAATGATTTGCACTGCTTTGGTTTTCTCAAGGAGAGTCATATGCTACGGCTGTGACGCTCGGCCAAAGTGTGTAATTTGGGACTGGGTCACTACTTTGTGTGACCTCTGCACAGTGTTAAGTTGATTTATGTGATTTATGACAGCCCTGCTTTCTAGACATGGAGTGACAACCCTGGAGGGACACTCAAATACTGAGTGTGAAAAATGTAAAAACATGGCTTGGGAAGCCATGAAAACAAACACCAACTGCAGGCTATTTTCCTTTTCTGTTTAGAAGGGATTCTAATCAAAACGTAGACCAAGTCAAATGAGTGCTATTTGCTTTCTCTGCGAAACCAACTGGGACCCACTGTCAGAGTCTGGTGAGGGAAGCCAGGAAGGGTGGGCCATGAATGGGGTGGATGTGAATTCCACCTTGCTGGTGATCTTTCAAATTAGCATATTTCACTGCTTTACACAAACTAACGTAGTCATCAATTCTCACTAGCCTACATATTCTGCATCAGAATGACTTTAGTGAAAGCATCTCAAAAAATGTGTTAAAATGGCCACCTGGGAAAACGATGGTTCCATGAGGCAGCTCACATATGAGAAGCATTTATTTTTATGCCTATATCTGTGAAGCCTCATTTCAAATTGATCCTTTTCCTTGTATGCAAAAAGAGATACAGATCCCAGCTAAACAGGGTTGTGTGCAGAAGAATCAAGAGCTAGCACACAAACGAATGAGCTCAGAGCCAGGAGATGCACTTGATACAACCTGGATATCAACCTGGATAGAACAGGAAAGATGTTCACTCTAAAGACCAATCAGGGCTTTCCTAGGTTGTGGGGAAATGAAATAAAATGTGATTTTCCTACCAGTAATTTTACCTCCCATGTAAGGGGAAGAAAATAAAAAGAAAGAGAGATTGAGCACACAGTTTAGGCCCAAGGATGCTTACCAATTATGACACACCTTCTACTCACCTGACTTGCATGGCTAAAGGCACCATCTGCCTAACACACTCTCCCACTAGAACTACCTGTCCCCAAGCTATCCCTGTGGGGGTAGAAGGTAAGTGTCCACGGTTAAGGCCAAGGTCTCAGGATGCTTGGATGTGAATGCCACACATGGCAAATAAGCCCTGGTCTCCCAAAGCAGGATAGGCTGTTACCCTGTGTATCTGCACGTGACATACAAAGCATGTGATGAATTTCAAAAGCCAGGTGCAGCTGACATTGCTAGAGGATGAGGTTCAACAGGATGCCTCTGCCAACTTGCTCTACTCCGCTGTTCTAGAGGCTTGGGATAATGCGAAACAATTAAAAGCCCTGCCATCAGGAAACCTGCAACCCAACCTGGAGAACAGATGAAATTACAAGGGTTAGCTAGTAATGCTCTGCCAAAGTAGGGGGGCAAGTTTCAGCATGAAACTGGGTGAGGAGGGCCAGCTGGTATGACAGAGACTGGGGCAGAAAGGAGAGAGTGGGTCAGCAAAGGTTGTCTGGGAAACAGCCCGACAGGCAGAGGGGACAAAACACAGCCATTCAGAGTGGGAGAAGCAAGAGGGGACTTCCTGATTGCGTCTTTTATCTCTGCCTTCTAGCACAAAATAGGAGCTCAATTTATTGGATGAATTTGAGGCCCCCAATCCAAGATTATGCAATAAACAAATTCATTGATCTATATAGGCCAGGACTTCCTAAATGACTGTATGCAAAATGTAATGGCAGAAAAGTGTATTTTCCTAAGAGCTGTTTATTACATTTCACATGAGTTTTTGATTTCAAGAATTACACTTCACAGCTTTATTTAGAGGACTATATAGTTCAAGGACAGAAGCAAGAATAGATTGTCTTATATGGGGCGGAACCTTTCAGGAAGCATCTACTTCTGGCCATGGTCTAATGATGACTTTCTGTTATAAACAGAGGACAGGGGTTGGGGATTTAGCTCAGTGGTTCTGCCACCTGCCTCGCAAGCACAAGGTCCTGAGTTCGATACCCGGTACCCAAAAAACAAAAAACAGAGGATAGCAGGGTATGATGGGGTACAACTGTAGTCCCAGCTACTGGAGGCTGAGCCAGGAGGATAGCTTGAGCCCAGGAGTTCAAGACTAGCGTGGGAAACACAGTAAGACTGTCTCAAGAGGAAAGGGAGAGGGTATTAAGACTCAGCAGGACACCAGGAAATGTAGTTGGCTTGCAGACTCGCCCTAGCACCTTCTGTCCACACTTGTGCCCATTAGTGTGTTGTGTGGATGTGCGTGTGCATGTGTGTGTGTGTCAGGAGTCCACAAGAGAGAACTGCATGTCGTTCTTAGACCTTGGTGGTTTACCTTCTAAATAAAAGACAGTCAGAAACAAAAAACAGATTAACTCAGGTGGAAGAGTAAAAACAAAACAAAAAAAAAGGACAAAAGGACTTGATTATAGGAAAGAAGAAAAGAATGAACCTCTCTTGCCATCTCACAGTTTTAAACTGAAAAACTTTTCAAGTGAAAATGGACATAGGCAAAAGAAATCAGTCTCACAGGTTCCAACACACACAATTTGTCCTTATAACTACTGTCCCTATCACTTGAGCATGGGAGCTACTGAATTCTCACTTCATGCTAATGTTTAGGGTAATACTCTCCTCCTCAGCCCCTACGCTGTGTTTACAAGCTTTTAATTACTGCTTATTTTTCATTTATATTCAGGCTTTATTTTTCTAAATACTTTTGTGCACATTATCATGGATCTCTGTCATGAATCCTGCTAAAAATTTTCATTTAACTCTATCTTTGCATGTACTAAAAAGAGAAATGAAGAGGCTGTTAAAAAAAACTCAACTGTCACATTCCATGAGAAAGCACTGTGAAGTAGTTTAGCATCTAAAAAGAGAAAATCATTTTTCCTATAAAGTTCTACATTTGAACTTTCCTGAATATTATATCTATGTAAACTTATACCCGATGGCAGTTATCAAATGCAATTTTGTTTAGAAACTGTTTTTAATAAAAGTGTTTTGTTATAATCTTGAGAAGATACCCTTACTACACTTTTAATAATCTTCTCTAATTCAACGGAGATATTTTTATGATTCTGCAACTTTGTATTTTTGGGACAAGCTAAGTTATTTTTCCTTTTGAATGAGCCTACTTCAGGAAGTGTTTCTAACTTTCAAAAAAAGCCAAATTACAAACATATAATTTGGTAGCTGGGCGTGGTGGTGCACGCCTGTAAACCCAGCACTTGGGAGGCTGAGGCAGGAGGATCACTGTGAGTTCGAGACCAGCCTGGACTACATAGTGAGTTCCAGGTCAGTCTCAAATACATAGTGAGATCCTGTCTTAGAAAAAACAAAAACAAACAAAAAATTTATAATTTTTGGTGAAGTCAAGTTATGTATTTATACTCAATCTAAGTAAAATGATGCAAGAAATGCAAAATTACATGTGTAGGTGCAGGCAAGGTTTTTCGATTTATGTGCAGAGAAAAAACTTGCCTTAACCATAGTATAGTAAAAAGTTATTAGCAGACTTGAGTAATTATAAAATGTTGTAAAGTTGAGTAAATATAAAACATTTTTTAGGATCTAGTAGAGGAGAAGAAAGGGCTTCTCTTCAAGTGTATTTCTAGTAAATTCCTTCAATTTCCAACAATAATCCCAGTCCTATTCCCAGTATTAAAAAGCAGCCTCTAGGCCTGCGAGGTAGCTCAGTGGCACCGCACCTGCCTGGCAAGCACAAGGTCCTGAGTTTGATCCCTGGTAAATAAATGAATGAATGAATGAATGCAGCACCTACCCTTACGTCCTTATTCTCACTCATTTGTATCGGAATGAGCCAACATTAAAAATACTACAGCACTAGCAGTACCGAATTGCTTCCATAATTCTGCAGCAATAACAAGTCAGGTCTACTTAATACCTAGTGGCTGCAAGTTAGCTCCATCAGTTTTAAATGTATGTTCCCATTCCTATCTCTGTCTCTGAGTCAAAACAAAAAAAAATAAAAAAAAAAAAAAAAAAAAAAAAAAGCCTACCCAGAAAAGAAAAAGATAAAAAGCTTTGGATTTGCTAGTGGGAAAACCAGTGTTTGACAAAGCTGATAAGAACAAGGCCAACCAAAACCCTTGTCTCAGTGAGAAACTGAGCAGAACAAAATCCACACACACAGCTGTGCGCCAAGCTGCCAGTGTGGACGTCTCCAGTGAACAGTGAGCTGGCTTTGAGTAGCGGAGGTCTCCACTGAGAAAAGTATTCAGCAGATGATTTTATTTCCCTCTCACGATGGCCAGGTAGACTACAGATATAAATGCTACAAATGACACCCTGACAATGGAAGAGAAACCCCTTACTTTTATGTTAACTCCAGGGCTATGTTTTAGCTTAAGCCACAGTGGTTCTGGAGAAGAAACCAAGAGGTAGACACCAGATTTGAAAAACAATGACTTCTCTGTTGAGTGCTGTGGTCATTTTATTTCTCTCTACATTTTCCCACCCAAACTGTATTTACACTAAATATGCTTAAATTAGACTTAGCTTCTACTTCCCCAAAGTGATTAGATATATCAACTACAAAAATAAGAATGCAATAGGTATTTAATACAGTGCAACTGTAATAGTGCTTAAAGATACTCACTAAACAGGTTCTCAGATACCATCTCATTGTTTTATAGCAACTACCAACTACACAAAAACAAACTTTTAGCCCCATAATGATCCATGTTTTAGGCACCATGTAAGTTGCCAAGACAACTTGTGCCCAGAGTTTAGCAGCCCAGCCCAAACCTAAGACTTTAGAGAGAGAAAAAGAGAAAGAGAAGGAAAAGTCATAAAATAATCTGTCATCAATGCTGACCTTGTTGCTCAATGTCTGCTTCAGTTTTTGAAGAACCTGGTGCAACAGGAAGGGGTCGAGGTGGCCTCGGCTTTGGAGTGGGAGGTGAGATTTTTTTCCTTCCAATATACTCAACGTAAGTTCCCGGGAAGTCCCCCCTCTCCCCGGTGGTTTCATTATAGCCATTTAACCAGCCAATTTCTTCTGGCCGTGCTTCCTGTCCATCACTGAATCCATGTGCAACCAAGGACCCTTTGTTCACAGTCAGTATGTCTCCCAAGTGCAGGTCAATGTCTTCTTCTCTTTCCTTTTTATAGTCATACAGAGCTCTGTACTGGTAGCCCTCGGCACTCATGTTTGCAGATGTTACCATGCAATGGATGAGTCTGGTGGAACACTGCAGTCTAAGTTTGTGTTCTGACAGAAAGGGAGTTCAGAGTGTGTGTTAAAATTCCTAATAGGTGTCCAGTGGAGGACAAAGGGCCACTCTCCAACGGTTTAAGAGGAGAGCTGACTGGCCATCCGGCTGTCCATCTGTCCTCCATCAATGGTGAGACAGCAGACAGGCTCTGCTTCCTTGGCGTGCCACAGTTCCCCCTGGCTTTCTTCTCAGGAACTTGCCAACACGCTGACTCCAGGCTGCCTCTTACAGCGAGGCCCAATCCTCTCTGTCGTTCTTGTCACACTGTCCATCTGTCATCTGATTTTACTGCTGCACTCCACGCTCAGCTTCACCTAGCAAGGGAAAAACAAGACTTATGAATGAACATCACACTTTGCCATCTGTGTGAATCTGAATTTCTACTTCCACTCACCAAGTATTTAATCAGTTTGGCAGACATGCACAGGCCAGTGTGTGGCTGCATGAGCACACACCACTAAGATCAGTAGGACAGTTCCTGCCTTCTACGAACATGGGGAGGGGCGGGAGGAGGGACACTGACCTGTGGCAATGTCTCAGAGATAAGACTAGTACACAAAGAACCAAAACATTAGGTCAAAGCTGAAACAGAGGCACACACTAAATGCTATGGGGATCAAGTGAGGGAGATGTCACATCGAATTGCAGCAATCTGAAGACAAGAAAGGAATGTGTGGCATGATCCTAGGTACAGAGGTGAGTAAGCAAATGTCACATTCTGGGAAGAGCTAGAACAGGCAGTCCAATCTGTCTGAAGGCAAAGAGGGAAGAAGAGACCTGGGCTGGAAAGACAGGTAGAAGCCATCTGACACCACACATTCCCGTTGAGTGTGTGGACGATCCAGTCCACAATGGGGAGCTCTGGGAGGGCAGGGAGAAAGGGCAACAGGGGACTGGAGCTGCACCTCGGAAATCTCAATCTAACTTACCATGGTGTAGGGGAGGCACTGGTTTGGGGCAAGAAAAGAGGTGAGGAAAGTGAAGAAAAGTGTGTTGCAGCAGTCTGGGAAAGTGGCCAAGGGAGCACAAACCTGGGAGGTGGTGGCAGCAGAAATGTAAAGGAAAGAGCTGAAGAGATATCCTAGGGGAGAATGTGTGGGAGGTGGCAAATGCTTAGATTAAGGGGAGAGAGAGAAGCAAAGGATGTCTGATCCTGCATTACTACAAAGAATTTTGTGTCAGTGCCAGGCAAAGGGAAGCTGGGTGACTCAACGGACTTACAGGGAAGCAGGCATCCACTTGCTGATGTGCTAGTGGCTAGTTAAAACCTGGGCTGTGATTCAGGACAAGGGACACAGAGATTTGGTAACAATCTATAAAGGATGCCTATGAGTAAGTCCTGCACAAGCATCCACATGGGGGAGACCAAGTCAAGGCTAGCAAACCCGAGTTGTGCTCATTGTGGAATCACCACTGACTTTCTGAGAAAGCATTTCAAGTCTGGTGGTGAGGACAGTAACAAGATTTCCAAGAGTGAAGAAATCGCAGGAAGTAATTATGGTTGCAGCAGAGTACTCACTAAAGTTACCTTACAGGAGGTGGGTAAGGAAAGTGTTTTTCTTTTTGTTTTTAAGCATAGTGGAGGCAGAGCACTGGAGTCCAAGATTCCATAAGGCAGAGAGAGTGTAGAGAAGCCCAGGTGTGCAGCTGATGGGACAGTGCATGTGTGGCACGCACTTTGCACACCATTCATTTCTCAACGTTATCTATATTACAAAGTGTAAGGCTGGGGATTTAGCTCAGTGGTGCCGCCACCTGCCTTGCAAATGCAAGGACCCAAGTTCGATCCCCAGTACCAAAAATAAAAATAAATAAATAAATAAATAAATAAATAAATAAATAAATAAATAAATGCAACTAAAAGGATTCAGTTAATTTGGAAGCACAATAAAGCAATAAAAATAAGAGCCACACGATTTCAGGGTGCTATGTCAAAGAGAGCTTTTCTAAGTTTTGAAGAGTGAAACACTTCAGAAGTTTAATATTATAGGCACTCTTTGGTGTAGGCAACAGAAGAAACCAAATTTAATCACAGACTAATTGTTATGTTGGCATTCAGAAGTGTAAAGTATTAAAGTATTCAACTTTACGCGGTTAAAGCCTCTTAGCCATAATACAATAACACTCTTAGGAGTTGCATATTAAAGGAAGCAAAAACAAACACTGAAAGTCTTTGTGTATCAAGAATATTGATTTGGGTGCTCTACTTTGCATTTCAGTCATCAGAGGGAAAAAAATTAATGTAACCAGTGGAGCATATGAAAAAAAAAAGCTGTATTATCTGTCTGAAGAAAGCCTCCCCTTCTGAAAGATCCAGAATCAAACTAAATATTCCTTGCATAAATTCACACAAAAATGTAGAACTAGCAAATCTCGTTTTTAGTACTAATGTGCTCTGTATAAAAGAGACACAGAGCTCTAAAGAACACGGAAATTTACATATCCCCAAATGCTTGGAAACCAGGCAATATGCCGAAGAATAATTTAATTCTTCCAAATCTGCCTTGAAATTTTTCCTAGCTTTTCCTGGCAATGTATGTCTTTTTGGAGGGGGAAGAATCCTAAACTAATAATCTGGACAGCTCTGTATACTAGCTTCTTCTGCCTAGCGCTTCCTCAGTTTCAACCACCCAGAGGGCCAGTTCAGTGGGATTCTTAACAGAAAGGGAATTATGATGATTCACTCCTGTCAAGTCCCCCAGCAACCATCAACCAAGCCTCTGCTCACAACACACCTATGTAGCTATGCACACCCCTCAATAAGGGATAATGCAGAAAGAAAAGGCTCCATCCATGACTTTTCAAATTCAGCAAACTGAAAACTATGCTTGAGTCTTTCTGGGGCTAGATCTGTACACAGAACAAAAGAAGTTGAAGGCACCTAACCTAAAGAGGCTCAACTCGGGAGAGATCCCACCACACATGTGAAAACCTAGAGTCTCTACAGTCTCTTCGTGCCACTTGTCAAAAGAACCTCTCTTCTGTGTAAGAAAAATCCTGCACACAACTCTCAGTCCTGGTCTGTTACAGGAAGCCCAGATCTTCTACAACTAGGACTGCATATAAAACACACTATTCCTGCCTCCTGAAACTCCACAATCACAGTCTCATATTTTCTCTCTCTCTCTCTCTCTCTCTCTCTCTCTCTCTCTCTGTACTAGGGATTGAACTTGGGATTTTGAACTTGAAAGGCAGTCAATGGAACCACTGAGCTAAATCCCCAGCTCTCAAGGTCACTCATGATTCAGAGCAATGTTGTAAAAGAAGAGGGAGAACAGAGCAGTCATTTATTTGGGTAGGGACTTGATCATGTGTGGCTTGGTTGAGAGAGAACTTTGCTGGGCAGAGGAGGCAAGGACTTCTACCTAACTGTGCACTGTACACTTTCTCCTGACTACCACATCCATTTTAATGACAATCATTGTCATCACCAAATACTTACTGGAAGTTGTGGGTATTAACCACATTCAAGCTCCAAGATAACCACTTAACGAGCCACTTATGCTTACTCTGCATATGAGAAAACTGTGGGGCAGAAGTTTATGTTGGCCATGACTACTTACACTCAGCAATTGAGAGGTGGAACCTCTACCTATATTTAAATTGTACAGCTCCAGAACCCCCACTTTACCACCATTAGAACCTACTGCCTGCACTCTACTTGCTTGGATAACCAAGGGCAGCCTAGGTACTCCATGTCAGTGGTGTCAATGACGCAGATCCCTTCCTTGCCCAAGCTGGCCTCACAGACTAAGCTTGAACATCTGCCCTTATTCTCAGACAGCAGCCTCACTGATAAGTGTTTGATTCTGTAACAAAAAATAAAATGAAAAGCCATTATGACTCGGCAGAGGTATCACTAAGTCTGAGACTTAGAATCACAGCCCTGCAAATTTTTTTCCAAAGAGACTTCATTAAAATGCATCCTTGCCTCAGAAGTCCATAAACCAGTAAATAAAATGCTGGGCAAACCACTTTTGGAAGGCTGCCCACTTCTGGAATCCTGCCCACATCTCTCTGTGAGTGTAGCTTCTGCCACCTGTATCCTCTTGGCACCTGTGCCCCCTGCCATTACTCTGGGTCCAGCACTGCACAATTTTCAACAACTCAACTCCTCCCTGGGGAGACGTTTCAACATTGATCTGGAGTTACAGGACTGTCATATCAATGGGCCTGGCAATTTCTCATTCCTCTCACCCTCAAATTCTCCCCTGAACAGTGGAAAACCTAGATCCCTGAGGCACTGGGCAGTACCTGTGTAAAACTCCTGATATTGGGGCCCAAATTATCAGATTGAAGGAACACATCTTTGCCAGATTCACTGGATAATTATACTCCATTCTCTTTGGTTACATACACCTGCTCACTCAGCTACTTCACCCAGGTCCAACATACTTATTTATATGGCAAAGGTTTTTATATGTGAATAATATTCATTACACACAACTTAGAATTTACAAATAACCAAGGCATTTTATGATCTAAGCTCCAAGCTAAGATATTTATAAGTTGCTGTAATAAAAGGTATAAAGAAATCCTATGAACAAATATCAAATTAACTCACTTATAAAATATCATATGCAACAGTTTCCTAAAGGGAATTATTTTGCTCCAATCTTTCAACCCTTTTAAGGACTACCTGCAGCCTCATTAATTGGAAGTGCATTTTGACCCAATCTAATATACTGAGTAATTCTTATTCTTAAAATCATTTCTGGTTGGGCACAGTGATATATGTCTATAACCTCGCACTGAGAGGCTGCACCAGAATTACAAAGTTGAGCCCAGCCTGAGCAACTCAGTGAGAACAGGTCTCAAAATGTAAAAAGGGATGGGGATATGTTCAGCGTGAAGATCTTGGGTTCAATGCCTGGTACTGGGAAGAAAAAAAAAAGTTTCTGATGTTTAACAAAGAGCAATCTGTGACTGCTTAATGTACAACTGTTTGAAGGAGATTTTCAGGGCTGGGGATTTAGCTCAGTGATGCCTCTGGCCTGCCTTGCAAGGGCAAGGTCCCAAGTCCGATCCCCAGTACCAATAAATAAATTAATTAATTAATCAATCAATTTAAAAAAGAGATTTTCAGTTTAACCCCCTAACCTGCAGGCATATGGCAAAGAACCAAACAAAATGCTTTGGAAGGCCCCTGATTTTGCTGACCTACTCCATTATGCTTTTACAAAAGATGGGATTTGGACAATTTGATGTGGAGATAGGAATAAAAGATATTTTCAGATCACATAAACTAAATCAAGAATGCTGTATATCCTAGTCACAATTCTATCCTGCAATGAAATTAGCAGTCTGGTGCTGGGCAGCAGCACAACAGGGATCTTCAATAGAGGTAAGGAGGTTATGGGGAGTTGGCAGTCCATATAGCCCTACATCCCACCCCACACACCTAACGTGAGAGCTCCAAGTCTAGAGCAAGCACCCCATCTCAATCTCTTAAAAAAAGAAATAACTATCTAAGTATTTCCACCTACCACATTTTTGGAAATCATTAAAAAAAATCAAACTGAACAAAGTTAAAACAGTCTAGTAAATAGAACGAGGTTTGTACTTTCAATTTAAAATAATGGACTCAGTGAATTTTATAGTATGTGAATTTCATCTCAATTAAAATAGAATGAAACTGATGGGCTAACCTTAAGACCAAAGTTAAAGACATCAAATATCTCAATTTGTTTTTTCAACTAATCAGCTAATCGGAGTGTGCTGCTTGCTGCCCTGTGAGGGGCTGGGTGGGTAGTGTGTCACAGATGATGTAGGCTACCATCTCTGCCCACAGGCCATTAGGGGCAGACAGTGTGAGCCCCCACGACACAATAAGCAGTCAGAGCTCTTCAGAAAGCCCAGTGATGGGTGCTGCTGAGCACAAAGGAGGAGCAGAGAGTGACCCCAGCCCAGCTGCCAGCACCCTGGGTCTCTCAGTGGTCAATGCAGAAAGACTGAAAGCACAGTGTGACGTACAGGGCTGAGGAAGAGAGCCCATCACCCACAGCAGGCCACAAGGCCATCGCCACAGCAGAGGCCAATCAGGTGGCCGTGGAAAGAGACGGCTGGAGAAGATGACCCAAAGTTTTGTGGAAAACAATGCTATTTCTTAAAGTTCTTGGCAAGGAGGTCACATGAACACAGCCACAGACAGGCCACTGCCCCCATCAGTGCCTAGATATGTAACCTTGAGTAAGTGAATTAAATCTTTCTGCAGCACAGTTTTATCACCTATGAGATACAATAAGCAAACTTACACCTCCCCGGGTCATCACCAGGATTAAAGGAAATTGCACATGCAGAGCACTAGCTTGTAGCACCTACTCAGGGCTTGCTATGTGCCAGCTGCAATTCTGAGTTGCATCAACTCACTTCATCCTTATGATCACCCTAAGCACAATGATCATCCCTATTTTTCAGATAAGAGACACAGAGAAAAGGTAGACAATGTCCTTGAAGTTACACAGTAAACTGCAACTATGGCATTCCCCATACTATTAGTAATAATAGTACTATTAGCACAGAAAGTCACTGACTGCCATTTATATGGTTTGGATTTAAAAGAATAGACATTTGCCAGTTTTCTCTCAAACCACCTCTAAAGGCTGCATACAACTCTAACTGAATCTCGATGCTAGCGGAATTTTAAAAAACCTGCTGGAAGTATGCAGCTAGATCAAGGCTGTGGGTGAACTTTACCCAACTAGTTCTCTCCCCACCTGAGGTCCAGGGTGCCTCAGTAAAGGTCAGGGTGAAGGAGACCTGGGAGGAATCAGGGGCATGAGCACAAGCACAGGGAGGGGAGGCAGGTGGTGAAGTGAGGAACAATACTGCCCCTGGACTGCCTCAAAGAGAAAAAAATGAGTGGAGTAAAGCAACTCCCCAGGGGCTGAAAATGGCTGTGCGCTCTCCATGCTATTACAGTTCCTGGGCACAGTCCCAGGCTGCAGCCATGGGCAGCCCAGGAGGAAGGCAAGGGGCAAAGCCAGCCAATTCGGGGCATCTGGGCTGTATCAGACCCCACATCACTGGTGGAACCTCCTCACACTCTGGCCAGACTCCTGTGACTTCTATACTCTCTGAGGTGATCATTAACTTGAAAACTATTTTGAATACAGGTGCTTGTGGGTAGGTATTTGATTTACTTTACTGAAAACAATGGTGGCAGAATAAAATCTACAAAGGTGTTTTTATAGTAGACTTTTCCCCCCCAGTAAAAGTCATACTATACTCATTCTATCCTTTCACAAAAGAAGAGGGGAAAACCTATCATAAACCAAATGCACAAGTTTATAAGTAATGACACAGTGTATTGCTCAGTTCATTTGGCTTAGTGTACATTAAATGGCTTTTAATTGCCACTCTTAGGCAAGTTATTCCAATAAGAGCATCGGCAGAATCTTGGCAAGTAATCACATTAAGGCATAAAAATAACAAGTACAATAATACAAATGCATCAAAAATTGGCTGAGCATGGTGGCACAGGCCTGTAATCCCAGCACTCAGGAGGCTGAGGCAGGAAAATAGCCATGTGTTCACAGCCAGCCTGGGCAAAACAGAAAAAGTTCAAGACCAGTCTGAACTTCACACCCTGACTCTGTCTCAAAAACACTGAGAAAAAGGAAAACTACAACCTAGATTTTTAATAAAAAGCTGCAATGTGATTTATATTGTGTCTCCTAAATTAAAAACTAAATCAATAACCCCTTCCATTGATCAGTAACTTTCTAGTCTTCACTCTGATACACCATGTTCTTTCCTCTACTGGCAAAGGCCTTATGCCCTCCCTGTGAGAGAGAAATCTGTGGTCAGTCTGCCTAAAACACGTAATATACGGGTACTCAAGCATTTCTCATTTCTTCTGCATTGTGTACACCTCAAGCATTAGAGAATTAAAAGTAAAAACATGCAAATATTATCTCAGCTTGCTATATTGTACTTGCCTTTTAAATCAATTTTTCCAGTCAGCTAACTCACAACCTCTTTATTCAGTAAGGCATATTTTGCAAATCACAAAATGCAAACACAATAAAAGCTGAAGTAGAATTGTTCCTGTTTTAAGGACCATGTAGACAGTCTTTCAAAGTGGATGCCTTTTTACAATACTCCCTTGAAATACCTGGGGGGGGGGAGAAGAACTTTCAATCAAAATACCAACCCCAAAATTACATGGCATTCATGAGAAAATTTAATTAAAGGAATAGCCAGACTTTTAACAGTACAAAGCTGGGCAAGTTGAATAGGTTTGCACTTAAGATTCAAAGCCCTTCCAGAAATCAGCTTAGGTGTAAGGTGTAATTGACATTTCCAGAAGATAAATGCCTACCTCCTCATTCCTGTCAATAACTGAAAGAGTATTCCTGTAACTTGCTGTGCCACTTTTGTTTCTCAAAATCAACTTTACACTAGAAATGTATGAAACAAAAAAACTAAAGAAAATATTTTTAATCAATGGGAAGTGAAATGCTTGTCTACAGGAATTATTCAGCATCACACATGTGAAGACAGTGCCATTCTATCAGCATTTTTGAAAAAACAGATAAAACAGGTGATAATAATATGTACATTGCAGAGTTCTGATATGCAACTAAGGATAAGCCTCAAATTAAGATTTAAATTAAAAGTAAGTGTACCTAACACATTGAAAGCCAGTATCAGACACATAAAACTTTCTTCCAAACACAAAAATCTACAGATTGCTATGAAAAAAGTTATGTAGCCATCTGATGACTACTTGAAACTGTCACATCAAACCTAGCCTCTCCACTTGGCCTTTCCAATTTAAACTTTCACTCAGTGCCAACAAATTTTAGAGCTTAAAAAATTAAAATATTTTTTTTACAATGAGCAAAACACTTGCAGCCCAAAGTTTATGCAACTTTTATACCTAAGAAAGTGATCATCTGCTTGCTTTTAAGTGGTTTATTTCAAGAGCAGAGTAATCTGTCAAAAAAGGTGCAGGTGCCTTTTCCTGGGCTTACGTCACCAAATGCCTGATCTGTACTTGAACGTCTATCACCCCGTTGGCCTGTCTCAGAAATGAACCTGTCTGCCTCCTCCAGTCTTTCCTAGCTAATATCTAACCATCTTTAAGGTTGCCAAAACATAACAGAAGCTAATGAAATACTAAAATATAACCCCACATAAAGCCTGGGTCAAAAAGCTTTGTGAATATCCCGCCTAACACCTAAAACTTGAAACTCCTCACACTAAAATGACAATCTCGTGCTGCATTCAAAACCCGGAACTGCTTTATGCATTCCTATTTCGCACTGGCTGACAAAGAGGAAAAGAACGGGGTGAAGGGAGAACCCTAAAGTCCTGAAACACCCAAATGAAGAGTGAACTTGCTCTGGACTCCAAGACCGCAGCTCCTCTAGGAATAACCTTTCCGGTCTTCACAGCGCCTGAAGCAGAATTCCCCAAACCCAGTTCCCACACAGTCTGCATTCAACATGTAACAGCCATTCGTTCACATCCTTGCATTTTTATGCTCGAATTCTGGTTCTCGAAATGCAATTCTGCAAGCGGGTACCTGGCAGGAGCTTTTCTTCTCTTTGTCTCGGGAATCTGCTGGGCAGTTTGTGCCTTGGGAAGTGACTGCTGGAGCTGCGGCTCCCACCCCCACCGACCCCCCAGCCCAGATATTTCAACTCCGGCTTGCACGCTCGCTCGCTTTCCTTAGCCGGCTCCATATTGCTGGGCAGGTCCCTCCGGTCTTGCCCCGCGTTACAAAAAGCTGGATTTCCGGGCGATGCCGAGACCCCGCTAAAGGTGCCTCCAACAACCTGCCCCGCGCTGGACCCCGAGTCCGGCCCGGGCGACCGACCTCCCAGTGGCGCACTTCCCCCACCCCGGAAGAGGAGGGCGGCCAACTTCTGAGGGCGGGGGCTGGGGCGCGCTCGGGGACCTCGTATATGGAAACTAAGATGCACAGAAATTACAGAACTCACAGCAGGTTCAGAAACTTGGATTCAAATTCAGGTCATCTGAATTTAAAATTCTTGCTCCATTATCTCCTGCTCTTTTGGCCAGGATCCAGTGTAGTGAAACACATACCCTTATACACTACGGTGGGCTTTCTCAAGTATCTTATCAAAAGAGGAATGAAGACAAGGAATCCTCTTAGCAATGAACTCATGTGTTTGACAAACATGTATTCAGAGCCTTCTGTTGACCAAACACCATTCTAGGTGTCCACAATCCTGCAATAAACACAGCATGCAGAGTCCCGGCTCTCATAAATTGAAAATTAAAAAGTCAATATGAGAAAGAAACTAAAGTGAAAGAATTACACCAGAGAACTTAGTAAAAATTACAGGAGGGCCAGGGATTTAGCTCAGTGGTTCTGGTGCCTGCCTCACAAGCGCAAGGGCCTGAG